GTATGTATGTATGTATGTATGTATGTATGTATGTATGTATGTATGTACGTACGTAGGTCTGTCTGTCTGTCTGTCTGTCTGTATGTATGTATGTATGTATTTAGCTATCCTCAAGAGTAATCCTCTATCGGTAAGTCTGGAGTGGGTACGATATAAAGGTACGTTGGGTAGGTACGGGTACGGGTACAGGGTACGAGCGTTGGGGGCGGGTAGGGGTGCGGGCGCAGGTGCGGGTACGGGTACAAGGTACGAGTGCTGGGCGCGGGTAGGGGCGCGGGTGCAGGTGGGTGTAGGGTGCAGAGTGTAGGTAGAGGTACGGGCATCCACAGTCTTTGTTTTCTCACCTCTTTCTCACCTCTCTACTTTACATGTTTTGTATTCTTCTCATATACCGTATGCCCGTCTTTTGGTTCTCAATCGTCTTTCTTACACACATCACATCAACAGTCTGCAGAAATCACTCACAAGTTCACAAGCTGCGACAGCGAGCCCATTGGAAAGCACCCATTTCTGCGCACGGTGGCACCGGTGGTTCTTTCTCTCTGTACTAATGGTGGGCACTATGCCACACTTCAGCTCTTACACCACTGTTGCATAGAGCGTGAAACGTGTTGAATCTCCTCTGCCTCGCTTTCGGTTTCGAAACGAATGGCAGTAAGGATAGAGATGACAACGGCCATGATGCAAGGAGTTGCGAACCTAAGCGGCGTAGTAGCAGTAGTAAGCAGTAAGTAAGTAGTCATTGAGGCTGGTTAGTAGCCAGGGCCGTTACTAGTTACCAACTAGCATGCGTTTGTTAAGTATCGGGCATGTCGCCGGCCATATCTGCGCACTGCTTTTGCGACAGAGTCTCCAGGATATTGCATTTGAATTGTCCAGCCGGTAGCCCTTGGAGAGACATCATCTCGATTCCTGCACGCTTTGCGCACTTTACTTTGCGTTCGTGCACTCAGCGAAGAGTCCTAGTTAAAATGACATGAGCACTAAAGAAAATAGATTGAGTTTAAACAGAGAAAAGATTGAAGCTCCTAGTAGCAGCCTCCCGCGTTCAACATGCCAGAGCTTTGATCCAGGGAGAATTGTCGGTGTTACCTGTCCACAGTTTTCAACGTCCAAAGAAACCTGTTCAGTTATGGCTAGTTCAATATACGATGAAACAGAACTTCCATAGCCTTGGAACCTTTGGTGGATGTAGGCAAACGTGAGGCTGATTGTGATATATCCACAAATTGGATTTTCTCCTCTGAAGACGTGATTTGCTGACTCATGATCTCCACAAAGCACAAGACCTGCAAGGACTTTGTTACATTGTAGGCCAGTACGATTCGTTTTGTTTGTATTGTGTCTTTAGGGTAAAAGCAAGCATATATATATATTATCATTATGTATATATATATAATATATATGTATTTTTACGTAACCCCGGAAACAAACATAAAAAGCAATAGTCAAGGGACCTCTTTCTCCCTTGGAGGGAGAATGTTGAACCACTCAGAAGCTGCAAGCTCTGCACTGGGCTGGAGCGGCCACTGTACACCATCTTAGAAGCAGCAGTGAAGGGGAACAGAGGGTGTTGGGAATTGGGCGGCTGTGGCGCTGTTGGCAAAGTCGTAGTAGTAGTAGTCGTCGTCGTCGTCGTCGTGGTCGTCGTCGTCGTCGTCGTCCGTCGCCGTCGTAGTAGTAGAGTTGAGTGGTAATCGCCATATTACTAGCCTATACTAGTACAGTAGATACATAGTCCGGTCTTCAACATTCACAATGCACACCTCACCTAACCTAACCTGACCTCATTTTTGTGGGAGTGTGTTACCACTATCCGCCACACCCTTACGCCAGGAAGCACTTCTCTGCTAGTGTACTGTGTTGCTCCGGCCATCGTGCACTGTCTGCAGTCTTGTCCTTCTGATTGTCATCTATTGACTTCTGTTTTGCACGACGCCGGTCAAGTTCCTCAACAACCCATTTGTCTGAATTGGAAAGCATGTGGGAGTCCTCAGTCAAGTCGTGTGTCCAATGTGTGATGAGCAAATGGGTTATTGCTTCCGGTGGGCACACAGCGGTAAGGGGGGTTCCACAAATTTAGCAAGAACATGTTGCGCAGCAAGTTGAAAGATACACCTTTGGGCCTCGTCGAGATTTTCCCATGACGGCATGGCATTGAAAGGCGGGACCAAGGTCAAATTGAGCCAAGACCAACTGGCGTGACTAAGTATGGGACAAAAGGCGACAAAAGGAAAGCGACTGGACAACAACCAAGGAATACTAGAAGTAGTGACGGAGCTAGTTTGACCAAGGAATACTAGAAGTACTAACGGGGCTAGTTTGCCATTGGGCACCACCTGCTAGCGCAATTGCTTACAGTATGCAAGCACCACAAAAGGAAAGAGACAGAACGGCAGGAACCCTAAATACCGTGGAGGGAACCCAAAATCACCTAGGGAACTCCAAAACTGATTGCGGGAACCAAAAATCACCAAGGGAACCCAAAATCCGATTGTGGGAACCCAAAAACTGATTCTGGGAAAAAAAGACGCTAGGGAAGGGAAAGTCGGAATCTGGGAACTGGAAACACCCAACCCATACTCTTTTGGTTCCTTGGATCTGGCCTTGGTTGTGTGATGAATGATTATAGTCACAGTTGTTTTGTGTTTGGGTTGGGTTGGGCTGACGATGTTTGGCAAGTAAGTTTCTCACGGCGCATAGGAGATCACCAATCTTGCATTCAGCACAGAACGTGCATGTAGGAGCAGGTCTAGAAACATGCTTCCTGAGCAAACAACGATGAGAGCCCAAACCTTGGAAAAACATCCCGTGCAACTTGTACCGAGCGTGCGGCAATTCACGTCATCTTTACAATCAATTAGTAGAGGCGCATAGGTGCAAGATCGCCAAGAGTCTTGAGAGCCACTTCCGAACAATGATTGACTTCGTGCCTTGCAAGTGTCAACTCAGACATGTACGCAACGCAACTTTGTAACCTGGACCTTAACTTTAACCAATCAATGTGAATAGTTAATAGTAATACTCAAACTTTAACCGAAGCCCAAACACCATACAAGGCTGTCGGCTAACCTAAGCACATCTGGCACACACTGGCACATACACATTTTTCCTGCGCAGTGCAAGTACCTACTCACAAGCCTTTTGAAAACAACAGCAGCCAAACCTTCTTGGCCAGCAACCAAAGCATTTGCAGGAGAAGACTGTCCAACAAGAGTAACCATGAGCTGATTCGCTGTGGCAGAATCGCATACGAAGGTTGCCACCGTTAAATCACAAGAAGCCGCCAAACCTGACCAAGTGTGAGAAAAAACTAGGAAAGACATGCTGATACAACATGCGAACGACTGGTACAAGAGCGCATTATTTATTGATCCAAATTGCTGAAGGGTTCAACGGGCTGCTTTGCGACAATGCCTTTCCATAAAGACTTTGCCGCCTTCCGTCGCAATACGGCTGGAGGGTTCACAATCTCAGTTCAGCAAAAGCTCTTGGAGAAAGTTGCTGGATTCTTGACTTGTTTTAATCATACACATCATTCTATTATATCGTGTCTCTTAGCAGTGGACGGTCAATCGCGTAGTCCGACCTCCTGCTTTGGTAGCGAAGATCGTAGTCCTTGAGACCTTGAGAGGACATGGCTGGACCTAGAATACAAAATGGCTGGGTCAAGCGGTCAAACTAGAATCAAATGAAACACTACAGTCTGAGGAAGCCGCTAGCACAGCCATTGTTGTCGTGGTGGAACAAAGATCCGATCTGACCTGCATCTTCTGACCGGTCTCGTCGAATTCCAGATGCAAGCCGATCGATGAAAACTCCTGTCGACAAGATTGAATCAGCTGTAGTGAAACCATGAGGCAAATTCATGACATCTCAAATATGTGCGTTCAACAAACTAAGCGGAAGCAGCATGTCCTGTCCTGAGGGTGATTCAACATCTGAGTGACAATGTCCTTTTGTTTAGTCAAGTAGACGTTGGCAACTGACTTCTGAGCCTACAAAAACATTCTTCTCTGACAAACACTCTCTCACAACGACTGGCATTACACGCTCCAAGTCCAAACATAAAAGCATCAATGCATATTAAAGTAGATGATCCTGCAAGAGCGCAACAAACGGCAAGGTGAATCCCCTATCACTTGCCTTGGACACAGTGTCAGGACTGCCGCCCATCCAGTATGCCACGGAGTTAAGTGAAAACCTTGCAGAACAGAGAGATCTGCATTGAAATGGCATACCCTGCGACACTAGCAAAACAATTTGAAACTGCGGCGAATATACAGTAAGATTCTTGGACAGAATGGTTGAATGTTGACAAACCAAGGCACACAACTGGTAACTTTGATTTCAATCGCGGCATGCGCTTCCGTATCCTGATTGTGGTCTTGTTGGTCTCGGATAGCATTCCCTTGACGGATCTGCCTAGCCTCATGCCAACGACACAAGTCACGGGCATAAAACGGCAGTGGCACAGTGGCACACATAAAAAATATACTATATTATATTATATAAAAATGTATTACATAAAATACTATAAAAACTATTATATATGTAAGTCTGACTGTAGATAAGCCCGTCACGCTGCTCGAAGAATCGTTCTGCTCGTCCAAGTCTTGTATTGTCCTAGCGTAGAGGTGTCAATTCCCATTTCCGATGAACAAATTTACAATTTCAAAAAAACAAAAGAACATCCTTCCTCGGCCCCGGATTTTTCGGATCGCGCTGCCCTCAATGTCGATGGTGTCGGTGCGTCTCACGGCCTGGTCCATGTTGAAGGCATCGATCTTCTTCCTGGCGGAGGATGTCCAAGAGCACTGAACAGAACGTAAGTTCAGATTCCAAATCATCCAATAAATCTTGAGAGTTGTTAGAGTTGAAATTATATACTCATGCAGCATGCACAAAACAGCACTAAACACTGAGCCTAGTGGTATTGAACTTCTTGGGAAATATCCTTTGAAGTTGCCGATTGCGCTTTCCTCCCAGCACAACTTCTCAAACTAGTGTTGCTGCATGGTTGCTCCACTGAACTCCAAATTGAAACTAACTATAGTTGATAGGAAACTAGACTTGCCTGCTCGCGCCAAAGCCATCCTGCTCCGCATAGAATGCGCATTGCCTACCCCTCTGCGTCGGCGCTCAATGGCGTTTGCCATGACCACTGCAAAGCATGGCGCAGCTGGCTCCATTGAAGAGCTTGCTAGACAAAGTACAATGCCAAAACAGTAGATTGTTTTTCTTTGGTCTTTGCTTCTACCGTCCACCGCAATACCGGTGGAATTTAGATATATAGAGTCGTGGTTCTTGCATTTGCATTCTGGCTTCTCGGGATGTCAAGTTGATTTACCTAGAGGTTGTTGGAACCAGAGAAGGTTGTATCTCACTGACCAACCACTGACCACCAATCAGTTAGTTAATCTAATTAACTTGATATGTTCAATTTCATCGAGCAAATTGTTATCGGTAGGAATCGAGCGGGCTAGCAAATGAATGCGCGTGCTTTACGTTCATATTTTTCCTTCCTCTTGGAACTACTATGACTATAAGCTACTCGAAACTACCACCGAGTACTCCCTCTTTGTCACCCCTCCCGAAGGTCTGACACAAACACAATCGCAATGTAAATGCTAATCTTTCAAAGGTACCAGTACCGGTACAAGTTGTGAATACACAAGTTGTTAATATATATATATACAGGTACAACTTCGGTACAACCGTACAACAACCATTGAACCTTATAGCTTAATATCTTGTGTCGCGTTGCGTGCCAAAAGGTTTACACCCGTGCTCACACTGCCATTTGCATTTCCATCTATCGCACCCACACCCGCGCCACCAATCGCACCTCACACCCGCACCCGTACCCGCACCTGTACCCGCACCACCCGCACCACCAATCGCACCTCACACCCGCACCCGCACCCGTACCC